ATGCTTCAGAAAAATGCATAATGACAATAATTTATGTTTTTTTTTTCCTTTGGTCAAAGCAAGCCTAACATTATAAAACAACATTTAGCATTTTGTAAAATTGAAAACACAAACACACATACATGCATGCATATAGCACACATACTTGCAAATATAGTAAGAGACAGGAAATCAGGAAACAGTAAAAATTCTTACCACACATTGGATGGCAAAAGTGATTCTAACTATCTATTGATTTACAAACTTTTACAGATACCACGCCTAGATCTCTGTTGTAGGAAACAATGGCACTAAAAGAAACGTTTAGAAAACTCCCCAATGACCATCACCTGTGCCTCAGTAAGAGCATCAGGCCCTGGTCCAGTGCCTCTGCAGGATATGTCCCTCCAGCCATCCCTGGTGCCTCCTGAAAGCCTGCTGACTTTCCCTAGGCACTTTGATTTGCTACACTTGTCTGGAGGGTCCTGCCTCCCACTATTTCTCATGGGTCACATTTCCTGGAGGCCACAGCTGGCCACCCAAGCAGAGCTAGCCACTTCCTGCTCCCACCCTACCCTGTGCCTGCACTACTTTTACACCCCTCACAACACTGCCTTCTGTTTATACTTCTCTCTTGTGAGTCATTGAAGGATTGGGTCAGGTTCCTGATCTTCCCTATTTACTGCACAGTCCTGGACAAATGTTTATGGATAATGAAAGGATTGAATAAATCGCTATTTCTGAGCTCTTGGCTCTCACAGTTGCAAACCTACATGCAAATGTTTGTGGGTCTCCAAACACAATGTGATGACCCTGACCCCATGGGTTTCTCCTGGGGGTACCCTGACTTCTTGTTCCTCATTACCAAGCCTTGCCCTTTTTTTTTTTTTTTTTTGCATGTACTCACATCTCTATGATTGGGGCCTCCACTGAGAAGTGGAGCCAGAATCATAGCTATTTTCCTACATCCTGTAACAATTCCCTATCCCCCAAACCATGGCCACCAGTTCGTTCTACAAATGACCCCTTGTGCTGTTTTCTTTCTTCCTGGGTCCCCTGCAGCTGCCCTCTGCCCTGCACTCTTTCTCATACTCGGGTCCTTGCCTCAGCCTCCTCTCCTCACCCAAAGAGCAGCAACTTGGAGGCCCCTCTTTCCTCCAGGGTAAAGTCCACACTCTCTCCCAAAGTGTGCTGGGACCTGCAGGCTGTAGCCCCATCTGAACCTGGCCTATCTCCTCTGTCCCCTGACTTCTAGCCTTCCTGAAGACATCTTGCTTGCCTCTATGCCTCTTGTATGCTGTTTTCCATGTCTGGAACCCTTTGGCCTCCCTAACTCAGGTACCAACTTTTCATTTAAATGGCACTACTTCCAGGAAGCCTTCCCTGACTCTCCAAGTCCCAGTTGTAGTTCTTCCCCTATGAACCCTCATAGCTCCCAACACTTCCCCAACATAGCCTTTCTAAGGTTACATTAAAAATGTTTACTCAATTCTTCCTCTCCCACAATAGGTTATAAGGTGCCTGAAGCGAGGAACATACAGCCAGTCTGAATGTTCCTGAACATTCTTCCAAGGTCCTGCTGAAATTTAGGCCTCCATGAATGGTTAGTATACAATGAGGCACAATACATGGACTTTTGCTTTTGCTGTTGTGTATGCTAATTCACAATTTGAGGCCAGAGAAGACATCCTGTGCTTCATGTTTTGCAGGTCCAAGAGAGGGAATGACAATACAACATGGCCCACTCTCCAGCTGAGGGGCCCAGGTGGGGTTCTGCAGAGAAGTAGAGGCACAGCAGCTGTGCTGGGCCTTTACACAGCTGTCCTTTGTCTGCTTGCTTTTCTGAGTCTGCACAGCCAACTTCCCCCACGGGTCATGAGTTTTTCCAGGACTCACAGGGACCAACCCTATACAGCAAAGGAAGTTCCCCGTGTGCTTCTAAATGCTACTTTGAAATATTTTCAGAAATTTAACAAAAAAAAAAAAAAGTTGAGCTGAGCTGAAAATAGTAATTATTGATGTATGGGCAAGGTGGAAGAGAGTCACAGTTGTTGAATGAGGAGTGCCCCAGTGCATTCAGATGGGAATAATGGGATCTGGTGTTCAACAGCACCATGGGGTGATTATAGCTCACAATAACACAATCTATTTGTATCAAGAAGTGGAATAGAGGAGCTGGAGGGCACCCCACACAAAGAAAAGGTAGGAAAAAAGAACAATTGATGGTCTGATATGATTGCTTTAAGTTGTATATATGTGTTAACCTATTGCATTTTACCCTATAGAATGTCTGTGACATGTCAATTCAACATTTAGGAAGAATAGAAAGTGAAATATTTGCAGGGTTTCTGGATTAAAGATCCCAGGATTAAAACTCTGGATGTTGTCAAGGTCCCTGTGGAGATGCTGTAGCAGAGCTCAGGATGACTGTTGCCCCTCAGCAGGGCAGGAGAGATCAGCTGGGTTTGGGTTGGGCAGGTGGTAATGCCAAGTCTGTAACTGGCTGAGCCAAGTTTCAAAGGACTCCAGCACTCCCTGGTAGCTTGTGAGTGGGGTGCAGTGACTTGAAGCCTGGATCCCCTTGGGGCAGTACATACATCCTGCTCCAGAAGCTTTAGGCTTGGCTACAAGGATTGTATAAGCCAATGGAATGTTAGCAGGTGGAATATGGGCTGAAGCTTTCAATACAGTTCTGAGATTCTTGCTTTTAAAGTCTCTTGTCATTCTGGATGAGAATATGCCCCAGGCCATCACTAGCCTGACCCTTTTCCCCTCACCTCCCAAATGGAAGTTTTTCAACTCCTATAGTTTGGGATGACTATTACAGATCTAAACAGAGATGCTTGTGGTTTGGAGTTCAGGAGTGAGGACTTAGTAGGCACAATGCATGCACTGCAAAGCCTGGGCTGGGCATCTGCAGATTCATGGCATTTAAAGTCTTGAGGCAGTTGAGCTCAATAAGGCATATGTGCAGATGGAAAGCAAGTCTATAGGTTAGGCTTGATTTGCTATGAGATCAGAGAAATGAGAAGAAATCATTAAGCAACCAGAGACAGAATGGTCAGAGGATCAGACAGCCAGCCAGACCTGGCCTGGGTGCAGGTAGGCCCCTGGATAGAACACTCAGAGTTGGAGAAAATGATCAAATGTGTCCGGTCTTGCTGACAGGTCAGTGGGCTTTGGATGGAAGGTTGATCGGCTTGTGGCTTTAGCACGGAAAGTTGTAAGTGTCCATGACAAGAATATATTCTTTGGAGTTTTAGGGACAAAAACATCAATGGTGGGAATTTAGGAGGAAAGGAGAAACATCATTCAGTGCAGATAATTCTTACCAAAGCTGTGCTCATAGATGAAGAAATCAGGCTGAGGCTGAAGGAGGAGCAGTGACTGAAGACTTTCTAGAAGATGAGATAAAAAAATGATCAGCTGAATGTGACAGGAAAGTCCAGGAAAGAAGGAAGTGGCAATGCGGTAGGAATGGGAGAGTGATGACAGACAGCTCACCCACGGAGACAGGGAGTGGTAGGGAGCAGGGCCCACATGGAGGAAGGTGGGCAGAGTGTGTGATGGAAAGGGAACTCCTTGAGGGCATTCTCTCCCAGTCGCTGCTCAATGAAACAGAGAGATAGGCCATCAATGGAGGGTGAGCATGTGGTGGGGTGAAGCAGTAGGAGAGCTGAAGAATGAATGGGCCAAGGATGTGTAGCTTGGGTACTGGCTAGCAGAGACCGTTCTGAGCCATTTGTTCCTCCTGTCTGGTAAAGTCGGACTCATCAAGTCAGCCCTCTGTTTGCTTCATTTACAGTTGAGAAAATCACAACAGGGAGTGGTCAAGAAACTTGTCCAAATCACAAAGAAACTGTTAAAGCCCACATTTGAACACAAGCAGTCTGTTACTAAGTTTAGTAACTCGTTTAGGCTGTCTCTGTTCAGCATAGGAAAGCTGCCACCGAAGTGAGCTAAACATCATAAGGGTTGAACAAATACTTGTGGAACAACCACTGGTGTCAGGCTCTGAGCTAGATTCCTCTGTGATGACGAATGTCACCGGAGTTATCATCAACTTCCTTCTGTTTGAATGAGGAGGCAGAGGCGCAGGGAGATGCAGCTACTCTCGAAAAGTTGCAGTGCTGGGATGTTACCATGTAGCACAGCAATTAATGCACTGCTTGCGAGGCCTACATTCCGTATCAGAGTGCCTGGGTTCAAGTCCCAGCTCCTAATTCCAGCTTCCTACTAGTGTGTACCCTGGAAGGTAACCAGTGATGGCCAAAGAACATGGGGCCCTGCGACCACGTGAGTGACCTGGATTGAGTTCCCATTTCCTTGTCTTGGCCTGATTGCTGTAGGGACTGGGGAGATGAACTAGCAGACAAGGGAGCTCTGTTTCTCTGTCTTTTGCATAAATAGGCAAATAAAAAGTTTCTAAAAAGTTGCTGAGCTAGAAAGTCAAAGAACTGCGTCCTGAGCCCCATTGTTGTCTGACGCTGAAGCACACACTCACATGATGTCCACAAGGATAAAGAGCCATCTGCCCTTTAAACGATTCTAGCCAACGAATGTCGCCTTAATTAGCTAAAGACATCGGAACTCTCCCTGCACCTGGCTGGAATCACTCGGATGGGTCATTCATTCTGGGCAGGTGGCGCATCTACTGTGTGGTCCTTACAACTCAGAGAATCTGAAAGGAGATAAGAGGGGAATGCTTGTTGTCTCCCCAATAATTTGGGGATATCTACTTCATCAGGTGAGAAACAGGCAAGCTTAGAGCAGAGGTATGTGGTAGGAGATTCAGACTTGCTTTCTTTTCATCACAAAACCACTTTAGTTTTACAAGCTTTCCAAAAACCATTTTCTCAACAAACGGTGCACATAATGCACCATTACACAGAACAGCCACCCACTTCCTCAAATGCAAGGAAGCAGACAGTTAAAAAAAAAAAAAAAAAAAAAAAAAGCCCAGAAGCAGCCACAGCAGTTGTTTATCAGGACCTTGCTTTGGTGAGGCCTGAGATTCTTTTGAAGAGCTTTGCTTCCCATGACGCAGCGCGCAGAAGGGTCAACTGGGATATTTCTGGTAAAACTGAAAGTGGGAGGAGCTGCACGCCCGCCCCAAGGGCCAGTGAACGGCCGGAGGGGGTATTTGGGTGACAGATGGGTGCACCTCTCATCTGAGAGAAAAGAGAGACCTGTTGGCAAATCAACCTCAAACCTAAGATTGCTGTGAAGCAATAGTAAGAGCAGACACACGCCGGAGGGGAAGAGTGACAAGGCAAGACGGAGCGCCCGTGCCGACAGCCCCCGCCATTTACCCCAACCCGCCGCAAAGATGTCTCTAAAACTGCCCAGGAACTGGGATTTCAATCTGAAGATGGAGGCTGTGAAAATAGGTACGGTCTGAGTGTCTGGGCTGCCTCTGTGGTTCTTATACCTGAGCGCACCCCCCACTCCCCCAATTTGCATGTGGCTGTGCAGGGAACAGAATCTTCTTAAAATGGATCTCCCAGCAAATCAGCAGACTTGAGTTTGGAGGGGTAGGGGGCGGGGGAAGGATTTGCATTAAAATTGATATGTGGACGCTAAGTTCCCAAGTGCTGGGAGGGCCTTCTTTTCCCTTTGGAGGTGGCAGGGGAATGAAGCTCTTTGGAGTGTGGGACCTGGGTTACTGTAAATGGTTGAAGGCTACAGACCATGCACCAAACCGTGAGTTTTTCCTCCACAGATTGTAGAAGAACAGTGTCCATCCTTTTTGGGAATTCTTTCCTGTTTTGAGTTTGTTTACAATAGCAACACCAAGATGGCTGTCTTAAGAAACACTTGATCTGGGAGCGAGTCAATGGGGTTCTATTGGGTGAGCTCGATGGGTACAGGTGGGATTGCCTACAGCAAAAAGTGTGCAACAAAGATAAGACAAAACAGGCAATTGAGAGGGAACAGGAAAGGGAATTCTAAATAGCAGTTGAATTAATTAATCATCTTAGGGGATGTTGACACATTTTCTGAGATATTCTGGCTGTTTATCAGTATGTTTTTCCTCTAGTGTTATTGATGGTGCATTTGTTTTGACCTGTTGCTTCACGGGTATTATAATGTTCTGTCTGGTGATTTTTTCTATTACAAAACTGACCACAGAAATCAGGCCTAGAGTCTTTAGCCCAAAAGCAATTGCTTACGTTTTAGATGGCTCTCACTTGTGTGGTGAGACAGTGTCCATGATACTCACCCTAGGTAAATGTTCAGGTGTTTCTAATAGCTTTGCAGAGTTTTGTCTGAAATGAGCTTTAGGTTGGGACCTCTAATGGTGACAGGTGTGCTACTAAAAAAGTGAGCCATTGAAAAGTCACAAGCGGAGTTTATAGGACAAGGGTCTGTGGAAGGATTTGACAGAAAACCAAGAGCAATCAGAATTCATTCCTCTGGGTAACTAAAGAGGATTAGTGATCCCCATTCAGGCTTGGAATCATTATATCCTGGGTTCAGGGAATTCAGAAACAACTGTTCACACCTTTTCCATACACCGGAGATTCTTCTCCTGACCACCACTGATAAAAAGATACTTGACTAATGCAATTTGCATGAAACAAAAATTCATCTTTCCTTTGAGTGCTTTGTTTCTCCTTACATGGTTCTGTGTTTCAGCAAATATTGGGGTCTTTACTCTCCTTTGGTTTAAAAAGGTAAACATTTAATTTGATTTTTACTAGTTAAATCATTTTCCCCCCAGAGGCATAGGAAGTTACTATAGCAGATATGGGATCTGGGCCTCAGTTGGCAGGATTTCCTGATTTGTACTAATACTTATTAAAATGTGGCCCCATGGATGGCCTGTGTGAGTCATCTTGAGGGCTGGCTAAAACTGCAGATTCCTCAGCACCACCCTAGTTTAGGAAATCTGAACGTCTGGAGGGATTTCCTGGATTCTGCTCTGCTGGGCACCCACCTCCCTCCCACCTGCTGCAGGGGCTGCTATTTAATCATATTAGCTCCAGAGAATTATCATCCATCAAGCACACAGTCCTGTGATTGAACTTACTGGGCACACAATACATCTTGGCTGATTTAATGAATGTTTGGCTACAGGGACATGCCATCATTTAGTATTACTTGAAGAAAAAATTAATAATGTCAACGAAATTCAGAGGAAACTTTGTCGTCATCCATACCATCTATTAAGCCTGCTTCCCTGGCAGAATTGGACTGTAATAGAATGCCTTTTGTGGGTGTCTCTTAGCCTAAGATTCTGATCATGAATGGAGTCCTTTGGGGAGAGATAGTCATAGGGTCCTCCATCACAGGACCCCTGATTTCCTCTCCAGCATCCTGCTCTAGGAAACAAATCAAAAGAGCTCACCTCCATTCAGAAGACTGGGAGACAGGCCAGGAGAGCCAATGACCTCTGGGTTTTCCTACCTGTGTAGTAAGGAGTAGATCAGAATTCTCTACTTGGACACTAAGGACCTTGGGGCTGGGTAATACTTTATTCTGGGGGTGTCCTTTGCATTACAGGATGTTTTGCAGCATCCTTGGCCTCCACTCAGCAAGTTATGAAATCACCTCCACTTGTAATAACCAAAAATGCTTCTAAATATTGCCACATGTTCCCAGGAGATAGAGAGTGGAAGGGAAGACATCTTCCCTGGTGGAGAGTCACAGGAACTAGGAGTAGATGATCACTGAATGGATGTGTTTCACCCAAAGAATACTCAATGATTCTCCAGTTCAATAATCAGCAAGCTTTTAGATATTAGGGTATTTGCAAAAGTTCATGAGCAACTGAATTGATGCATAATTTAATTTTGGTGCAAAAATATCTGAAACTTATGCATAAAAACATTCATAGTACACATTTTCTATGAACACTTTGAAGACCTTTTGTTTGACTTTAGGAGAATGGACAATAACGTGGGAAGATCTTAAAAGAGCACCTATTGGCGAAGCAGTATCTTACTGCTTATTGACCCACTGAGTGGTCTCAGAAGGGGCCCTGCTTTTTGTCGTTGAGCTCCTCCTCTAAACCTCTGAGTGCTGAGCCAGGGCTTAAGCGAAAGTGAAAGTCCCTGGGCTGGGACGGGACTCTCCACTGTGCTTCCACCTTTCAGAACTAAGGGCCCCATGAGGTGGCAGGACTTTCTCAAGACCAGTATCATGGGCCTGGCAGCTCTTGGTGCAGTGTCAGGAGGATGTGGCATAGACCGTCTTGGATCTGAACTGCTGATTTGGTGGGGAGCAAGGCTTGGAAGCAAAAAGGAGTTGGAGCAAGAGGCCTTGACTTGAGGTGGAGTCAAGAGAGCATGCTGCTTCCTTTAACACTTCAGCATCTTGTGCTGCAGTCAAGCAGTTCCATTTGTGACAAATTCTCAATTATTTCACTCTTTCCTGTGTCTGATTTCTCAATTGTATGGCCATCACTGGAGGAGAGGTTCTGGGGCCTGGTATCCCTACTTGCATGTACCTCCCAGGCCTTATGCACCCTGTGCCTTGCAGGTAGGCATCCCGTGGAGGTGGTACTCCTCAGGCAGGGAGTGTCCCAAGCCATTTTGATGTGGGTGTTAAGGAGCCAAGCACTTGGGCCATTTTTCATTGCTTTCACAGGCCATTAGCAGGGAGCCATATTGAACGTGGAACAATAGGGACGTAAATTGGTGCCCATATTGAATGCTGGCATCACAGGAGAAAAGGTTAGACACTATGCTATAATACAGGTTCCACTGATATCTTCATAACTATATCAATTTGTAAAATCATAAGGCTTTATGCAATGTAGGTTACTGTTCTTGTGAAAATAAATCAGATTTGGAAGCATTGTTTTACACAGATTTATGAAGAAATATGTGGAGAGAATAAAATAAATGTAAAGAAAAGTCCTATCAATCGTTAAAAATGATTTGGGAGTTAGGCTCAGAGAACAATCATAAGAGTCACACAGGGGCACCCGTGAGTAAAAAACTGGTCTCACCACCCTCTCCCCTTTATTGCCATTCTGTTCTTGAAGACAGAGATGTGTAAATTCCTCAGTGAGTCACAGACTTGCCATCCTTACATAATCTCTACTGCTGGTTCCAAGTCCATGGGTCTGCCAGTCAGCGCAGAGAGAATATAATTATCCCAAGCCATTAAAACAGAGACATTTTAGGCTCTGGAGACTACCATCTTTCTTTGACAAGAGAGCCGAGAGTGCCCCTAAACTTGCATGATATGAGTCATGCTTCCGAGGAACTGATCTTTTGAGTTTTGAACACAATGGTTTGGTCTTAATTAGATGTGTATCTCTGTCAGAGCAGGAGCTGCATTGCCTTGGTGTCCCCACAGGGTAGGATGTACTCAGCTGTGCTCTCACTTACGCCTTCGCTCTTGTTTTTACTGCCAATAAGGATTTCACTACATCTGGTCCTGATGGCATTGGGAACATGAGACTGAAAACTGGCAAATGCCAGTGACTTCCATGAATCCCTCCCAGGGAGAGAGCTCCTTGAAACTTTGGTGGTCAGAAGTGATTTGGTCTTCCTTGAGGGACTGCTGGGAAGATGGTCATGCAACCTACTGTGGCCCCTCTGGGTCTTGGTGGCCAGGAAGCTGAGATTACACTGAAGCTCACGCACAGTGACTTCCACTCATTTGCTTGATAAGAATTTACATGTTCACAGCACATGGGTTTCTGTCTGAAAACAAAAACTCCATTACTTTTCTCTTACAAAGAAGATATAGGCCTGGTGCAGTAGCCTAGCAACCAAAGTCCTCGCCTTGCATGCACTAGGATCCTATATGGCTGCTGGTTCTAATCCCTGTGGCCCCACTTCCCATCCAGCTCACTGCTTGTGGCATGGGAAAGCAGTAGAGGAAGGCCCAAGGCCTTGGGACCCTGCACTCACATGGGAGACTTCTGGCTTTGGATGGGCTCAACTCTAGTCATTGCGGCCACTTAACGAGTAAGTCAATGGATGGAAGATCTTCCTCTCTGTCTCTTCTCTCTGTACATCTGACTTTCCATTAAAAATAAAACAAATCTTTTTTTTAAAAAGAGGATGGTATAAGTCACATAGCCATCCACAATCTGGAGACAATTTCACACATCCTTGTTGCAGCTGAGTAATACAAATGTTTTGAAAAGTTTTTATTTATTTATTTATTTATTTGAGAAGTAGAGGTGGAGAGAGATACGGATATGGATATAGATATGAATACAGGGAGAGAGAGAGAGTGTTCCAATCCACTGAATCACTCTCCAAGGCTGGCATAGCCAGTTCTGGGTCAGGCTGAAGTGAAGAGCCCAAAAGCCAGGAACTCCATGCAGATTTCCCGCCTGGGTGGTAAGGAGGCAACTACTAAGTACTTGAGCCTTCACCTGCTGCCTTCCAGGGTATTTATTGGCAGGAAGCTGGAACCAGAAGAG